GTTAACTCTGTTTTCTCCTCCACAGATGCTGCCAGACCTGCTGAGCTTTTCCAGCAACTTTGTTTTTGTTCCTGATTTACAGCATCCGCAGTTCTTTTGGTTTTTATCTGGTTTTAACCTCACTCAGTTAAACAAGAGCAATATAAATTATATTATTAAAGCATGTTGGGGGTAATATTTAATTTAAATATATGTAAACTAATCAGTGAAGCACCCTCCTTCATTTATACCTGGATCCACTTTGACTTTGCAACATGAGGACAAGTTATTTCCTGTGGCAACCACGGGTGAAAGTGGCATGAGACACACACAAGAATGTCTCTTCAGGAAATCATTCAAAAAATAATGTATATTGTAAAATTTGTGTTGAATTATTATAGTTTAGCTATCACCAGATTACTAAGGGAAGTTCTGAAGAAACGTACTATGTACAGTTCAGGTTACCCTGCTATAGGAAAGATGTTACTAAATTGGTGACAGTTCGGAAAAGGTTCACCAGGATGTTGCTGCGACTGGAGGGTTTGAGTTATAAGGAGAGGCTGGATAGGCTGGGACGTTTTTGCTGTAGCATAGGAGCTTGAGGGGTCACCCGTGGAGGTTTATAAAATCATGAGCGACAAAGATAAGGTGAATAGCAAAGGGCTTTTCCCTAGGGTTGGAAAGTTCAAAGTCGGGGGCATATTTTTAAGGTAAGAAGAGAAAGATTTAAAGGGGACCTGAGTGGCACCTTTTTCACAGAGAGGGTGGTTCATATTTGGAATGGACAGCCAGAGGAAGAGGTAGATGCAGGTACAGTTACAGCATTTAAAAGACATTTGGACAGGTACATGGATAGGGAAGGTTTAGAGGGATATGGGCAAAACACAGGCAACTAGGACTAGGTTAGTTTGGGAAACTTGGTCAGCACGGATGAGTTGGACCGAAGGGTCAGTTTCCGTGCTGTATGACTCTATGACTCTGAGTGATACAGGATGCAAAACATTAACTCTGTTTCTCTGTCCACAGATGCTGCCACACTCATGTGTTTTTCCAGCTCTTCCTGTGTTTTTTATATAAGGGATGCTACCATTTCATTTATGGTGCAGCAAAGAGATTCATTCTGCCTGTTTTCCTGTCATGGCGTATACAAAGGCATCATTGCAATGTGTTCCTGGGGATTAGCGTAGATTTTGTCCAAAATAATGTATTGTTCACTTTTTCTTTTGCAAACAATGGATTTAATAGCCAGAGCTTCAATAATTTGGAAACATAAATATGTAAAACCGAACTAAAATAAATCAACTTTTTGCTTTTAACAGATGTGAGAGTTGTGTAGAACTTCTGTTTGTAAGAGGCTCTGGAAACTGTCAGGAGTGTGGCACAGCACTACGAAAAAACAACTTCAGAGTGCAACTCTTTGAAGATCCTACAGTGGACAAGGAGGTAGAGATTCGAAAGAAAGTATTAAAAATGTAAGAATTTTATTTCTACTGTTAATTGGCAATTGTGGGATAATTATGTGGCCAATAATAGAATGCATAGCACAAAGACATACTATTTGGCTAAACTAATGCAAGCCAGTATTTATACTCCACCCAAACCTCCTTCCACTCATAATTACCTCTTTCCATTCTGCTCCCACAATCTTCTATTTACTTTTACTAAACAAATGGGTCAAGGCATCCTTTAACAATCTGCTTCAACCACTCCATGAGGCACTGAGTTCTATATTGTCAACACCTGGTTTAAAAACAGCTGCAACTAAAGTGCAGTTTAACCTAAAATTTAATGTTACTGCCCTGTCTCTGGTTCCTTTAGAAATGAACGTTGTTTGTATTCTTTATGGCCTTAACAGCTTGTATTGCTACTTTTAGTGACCTTATGCTTCTGTGCACCCAAATGCTTTTGTTCGTATTACTACATTTCTTATTCTCTAAGGAATATTTCAGCTAACAAAATGAACTGCCTCAAACTTCATTGAATTACAGTTGCCACTTTTTTTTTGCACAGTCTAGAAGCCAGTTTTTAGTGCAGGCTGCAACATTACTAGCTATATCATCAATCTAGTTTCAAATCTTAAGCTGATTGGCAAAAGAACTAGAGGTGACATGAGAAAACGTTATTCTACAAAACGAAGTGTTATGATATGCTTTAGATTGGCTGATAAGGTGGTGAAATTGGATTTTGTAGTCATACTCTAAAGAGTATTGGATAAATACTTAAAGGGAAAAAGATTATCAGTTATGAGGACAGAGCAAGTGAATGGCCTCCAGTGTTGTATCTTGCTATGGTTCTATGAAAATTTTGATAGCATGTCACCAATTCCTCGGTTCAGACTAATTTGATACATTCTGTAATACTAAATGGTAATAATCCCAAATTAAACCCTGCAAGAGGACAGAGTTTCTCATTCCTCACAGTCTGCTACAGAATGTTGCAGAAACTCATCAGTCTTACAGTATTTGTGGGCAGAGGAACAGTTAATGTTTTGAATCCGATATGACTCCTCTTCAGTTTTGAAACTCAGAATGTTAACTCTGCTGGGTTTCTCCAACATTCTCTGTATTTGTTTGTTGTAAATTGCTTTCATGAAACTTTATTAAAGGCTGTTAAAAGTCCACGTCTGTACTTCCTGTTATCCTGAAACAATTAAATAATATTAGTTAAAATGAATTTCATGTTAGAGTTCTGTGCAAACGTTACCATATTCACTCTTTCTACATGTTTCTTTACTTTGTCTTTTTGCAAGAAGTTCAGCTCTTTCCAGCACCAATAGACTAACTGATTTGTATTTCTCTGAGTTAGTTCTGCCTCCCTTTTTGAAGTTAGGAGTTTATTTTCCATCTGTCTGTTCTCTGGTAATGTTCTGTTGAATGGTCCCCACTTAAAACATCAATTTATCTAATTTTTCTATAAGATACTGATAAGCTGCTCAGTCTTTCCAGTAGTTTTGATTTTTAATTATTTTTTGTTGGTCAGAGTCTGTTTTGCTGTTTAGGAAATTGTCAATATGCTGAATATCACCATCCATTTGGTGATATTGATGCATCATACATAAGCATAATTGTTTAGTAGGCAAGGGAATTAATATGTGTATTTATTTTGATCTTTTAAAGATATGCAAGTCCTATTTAGAGACAGAAGCAACGAGGAATCTATACTTTTAAGTGCCAGTCTGCCTCAGTGGTTTGCATACTTGCCTTTGAGCTAACGGGTGAGATTTTCAGTCCTGGTTCAGAAATAATGGTGGGTCATACTTGGGCATGAGTGCACTTCCTTCTTTATATGAGATGTTAACTCTGTAGACCTACTGGCTATTGGGCTTTAAGGCACCATTTAAATAACAGCTTTCCTGGTGTCCTAACCATCACTTATTCGTTAGGTTACACCATAAATTAAGAATTAATTTATTTTAATCATATTTCTGTTTGAAAATCTTGCTGAGGACAAATTGACTGGTACATTTGCCAAATAAATGTTGACTGTATCCTTATGTAATTAGTTCTTAGATTTGAGAGCTGTTCCATCAGTTTGAAAGTTGGCAAATTCAACAAAGCTTTTGAAGAAGGGAGAGAGGAAAAACAAAAGTAGCTACATGCCAATCATGTTGAAAGTGTGGAATTTATTACTAAGGAAGTCTTAACAAGCACTTCAAACATATAGTGTAATTAAAACAAGTCAACATGGTTTTACAAACGAAAAACTAAAGAACTCAGCAAGATGCTGGAAATCAAACAAAAACAGAAAACTCAGCAGGTCATGCGGTGTCTGTGGAGAGAAGGCAGCATAAACGTTTCTGGTCTAGTGACCCTTATTCAGAACTAATTGTAGCTAGGAAACTGCTTGGTATATACGCATTCCTTTTGACTGCCCATCTGAGTTTTTGTCTCTCTGTCTGTGGGCTCTATCTCCACTCTGATTGTTTATTCCTTCCCCCGGCATCCTCCACCCCTTCTTTGGCATATATACCTTTTCCCAGCTACAATCAGTTCTAAAGAAGGGTCACGACCCGAAACATTAATTCTGCTTTCTCTCCACATCTCCACAGATGTGGAGAGAAATTTCTGTTTTTGTTAACAAATGAAAATCTTTTACAACAGCAGTTGTAACTAGCAGGGTAGATAAAGGACCACCTTTAGAAGTGTAGTCTTCTTCTGTTTTCAAAAGGCATTTATATAGTGTCACATAAAAGTTTAATCGGTAAGAGAAGAGCTCATTTAGGTGGAAGTAATCTATTAACGTGGATCAAGGATTGGCTATTGGATAGGAAACAGTGGGCATAAAAGAAACATCTCCCAGTTGGCAGGTTATAAGTAATTCAGTGCTGCAAGAATCAGTGCTGGGGTCTTGTGTTTTTACAAGCTACATAAGAACATAAGAACTAGGAGCAGGAGTAGGCCGTCTGGCCCTTCGAGCCTGCTCCGCCATTCAATAAGATCATGGCTGATCCTTTCGTGGACTCAGATCCACTTACCCACGTTCTCACCGTATCTCTTAATTCCTTTATTGTTCAAGAAAATATCTACCTTTTTTTTAAAAACATTTACTGAAGTAGCGTCAACTACTTCACTGGGCAAGGAATTCCACAGATTAACAACCCTCTGGGTGAAGAAATTCCTTCTCAGTTCAGTCCTAAATCTGCTCCCTCAAATCTTGAGGTTATGCCCTCTTGTCCTAGCTTCACCTGCCAGTGGAAACATCCTCTCTACTTCTATCTTATCTATTCCCTTCATAATTTTATATGTTTCTATAAGATCCCCCCTCAATCTTCTGAATTCCAGATTCCATACTAATGACTTGGTTGAAGAAACAGAGAGTAATGTACCTATGTTTGCTGATGGTACAAAGCTGGCAAAAAGATAGCTGTGGAGAGCGCACAATTACAAATAGATATATACAGGTTTAGTAAATAGAGTCATAGTCAGACCCTTCATTCCAACTAGTCCACACTGACCATGTTCCTAAACTAACCTAGTCCCACTTGCCTGTGTTTGGCCCAAATCCCTCCAAACCTTTCCTATTCATGTACTTATCCAAATGCCTTTTGAGTATTGTAACTGTACCTGCATGTATCACTTCCTCTGGCAGTTCATTCCACGCATGAACCACTCTGTGTTAAAAGAAGTTGCCCCTCATGTTCTTTTTAGATCTTTCTCCTCTCACCTTAAAAATATACTTCCTAGTTTTGTATTTTCCCACCCTAAGGGAAAAAACCCTAGCTATTCACCTAACCTATGCCTCTCATGATTGTATAAACCTCAGTGAGGTTACCCTCAACCTCCTATGCTCATGACAGAAAAAGTCTCAGCCTGTTCTTTTCACTCAAGTCCTCCATTCCTGACAATATCCTGCAAGAAGGCTGATGGAATGTAATGTGGGAAAGTGTGAACTTATTCACTTTAGTCATAAGAATAGAAAAACAGAATACATTTAAAAGTTGTGAAACTTGTAAATGTTGATGTTCAAATATAATTGGGTGTGCTCCATCGAGGAACACAAAGTTAACCTGAATGTACACAATCATTCACAATTAGGAAAGCAAATGGCATGTTGGGCTTTAATGTAAAGTGATTGGAATACAGAAATTTGTAAATTAAACCTTTTGGTCTTTCGAGCCTGCTCTGATATTCAGTCTGACCATGGCCGATCGATATCTCGAATTCAATGTTCTTACTTTATCCCCGTGCCTCTTGATGTCTTTAAAATCTAAACATGTATCTTACTCTTTCTTGAATATATTCAGTGATGTGTTGGAGAATTCTACATTCCTTTAAATGAAGGAATATGCCCTCATTTCTGTCCTGAATGTCCTGTATCCTGAATGTAAGTCCACTGATTCCAGGCTCTCCAACTGGGGAAAACATCCTCCCTGCATCTAGTTTGTCCAACCCTGTTAGAATTTTATGCATTTCAATCAAATTCCTTCTCATCCTAAAATCCAGTGAATACCAGCCCAGTCAAACCAATCTCTCCTCATAGGACAATGCCAACATCTCCGGCATGGATCTAGTGACCTTCACCTGCACTTCCTCTATGGCAGGTATATCCTTTCTTAGGTAGTGAGATCAAAACCTCATCCAATGCAGAAAAAAGAATTCTTGCCACAATTTTACAGAGTTTAGCTAAGACTGCATCTAGAAGACTGTGTGTCATTTTCATCTTCATATTTAAGGAACAATATACTTGCATTGGAGGTGGCACAGCGAATGTTCACTCAATCTGTCCCTGGCTGAGGGAGTCGTCCTATGATGAGAGATTGAGTAAATTTTCATTCATTCTTGTGAGATGTGGGGTCACTGGCTGGCCAACATTTATTGCTTATCCCTAGTTGCCCTCAAGAAGCAGGTGGTGAGCTGCCTTCTTGAACCACTGCAGTCCACCTGCTATGGGTTGAACTATAATGCCATCATTAGGGAGGGAATTCCAGGATTTTGACCCAGCGACAGTGAAAGAACGGCAATATATTTCCAAAGTCAGGATGGTGAGTGACTTGGAGGGGAACTTGAAGGTGGTGCCGTTCCCATGATTCTGCTGCGCTTGTCCTTCTGGATGGAAGTGGTTGTGGCTTTGGACGGTGCTGTCAGAGGATCTTTGGCGAATTTCTGCAGTGCATCTTGTAGGTAGTAGCAGCAGAGTGTACTGAGTGTCAGTGGTGGAGGGAATGAATGTTTGTGGATGTAGTGCCAATCAAGCGGGCTGCTTTGTCCTGGATAGTGTCAAGCTTCTTGAGTGTTGTTGGAGTGGCACCCATCCCGGCAAGTGTGGAGTATTCCATCACACTCCTGATTTGTGCCTTATAGATGGTGGACAGGCTTTTGTGGGGGTGAGGGCTGGGGGGTCAGGATGCGAGTTACTTGCCACAATATTCCTAGCCTCTGATCTGCTTTTGTAGCCACTGTGTTTATGTGGCAAATCCAGTTAAGTGTCTGGTCAATGATAATGCGCAAGATGCTAATAGTGGGGGATTCAGTGATGGTACACTATTGAATGTCAAGGGGTTAGATTGTCTCTTATCGGTGATGGTCATTGCCTGGTAAATGTGTGGTGCAAATGTTACTTGCCACTTGTCAGCGCAAGCCTAGATATTTACCAAATCTTGCTGCATTTGAACATGGACTGCTTCAGTATCTGAGGAGTCATGAACGTTGTGCAATATCGGTGAACATCCCCAGTTCTGATCTTGTGATGGAGGGAAGGTCATTGATGAAGCAGCTGAAGGTGGTTGGACCTAGGACAGAGATCCTGCAGAGATGACTGACGTCCAACGATGACCATCTTTCTATGTGCTGGGTTTGACTCCAACTACCGGAGAGTTTGCCGCCAATACCCATTGATTCCAGTTTTGCTAGGGCTCCTTGATGTTACACTCTGTCAATGGCTGTCACTTTCATCTCACCTCATTAAATTGATACATATGAAGTAATGAAAGGCCTTGAAAAGGTAGATGCTGAGAGATTATTTCTTTTGGTTAGGGAATTTAAAACATTCAGGTATAGTCTCAGGATAAGAGGCTAATTCTTTAGGACTATGAAAAGGAGAAATTACTCAAATGGTTGTGAAATCTGGAAATCTCTACTTTAGAGTGTTTGGATACTGTATCGTTGAATAAACTTAAAGCGGAGATAAATAAATTTTTGGTATCCCAGTGAATCTGACCCAGGGATATGGGGATCATGTGAGAAGGTGGAGTTGAAACTCCAGACCAGCCATATTTCTATTGAATGGTGGAGCAGGTTTGACGGTCCAAATCGTCAACCCCTCTTATTTTCTTGTGTTCTTCCTGTTCGCATTGGACATTTTGGGCATTAAGACCCACGCATCTTTCTTAATAATGAGTAAGAGTGGTTGCATGTAGTCTAGGAATTAAGCATCTTGTTAATTAGGTTTGTTAAAAATTAAAAAGAGTCTTAATATCAATGTGAAGAATGTTTCCATTTGAAGAATAGAACTTAAAATTTAACTCTAATAGTTAACCAAGCAAAGTAAATAAAATGGCTACTCCTACCAACAAAATTACACATGTAATTGAAATGGATAATTGTAATGCAACATCCATATCATCTCCTATCACTGGCTGTAGAAGGTTGGTTTTTAAGGCTATGCATACTATATTCTGAAATATTTATAATGTAGGACTTAAAGTTGAATATTTAAGTTTCTCCATGTATTGACTTCAGTAGGCCTGGAGACAAACTAGTTTCGAAATGTGTTCCTAAACTTGCACACCTAAGGAAGAGAGATTTGTTTTTTTTTTTAAAAGTCTTTCAGTTTTAAAACTGGTTTGTTGTGGATTTGACATATAATTATCAGTACTTGACCAATGTAGGATTTATCTTCAGATGAGAATTCACCTGTTGGGTTATTTGGCTATCTTCACTCCTATCGGTCTTATGGAATGTTTGAATTCTTTCACAGTCCTAAAACTGAAGGCAAAAACATATAAGGTAATAAAGGGGCTTGAAAAGGTAGATGCTGAAAGATTATTTTCGTTGGTTAGGGAATCTAAAACATTCAGGTATAGTCTCAGGGTAAGAGGCTAATTCTTTAGAACTACGAAGTGGAGAAATTACTTCACACAAATGGCTGTGAAATCTGGAAATCTCTACTTTAGAGTGTATGGATGCTGTATCGTTGAATAAAGTGAGAAAGTGTTGACTGTCCCAACATTTTTGATAATCTGATTTAGGATGTGTTAATGCTACAGCTGTAATGTTGCAGCAAAAAAAAATTGATTTGCACCTTGGTTCTTGTTATCGTGTGAATGTAGTATAAATTTGGGCATCCAGGTGAAGAGACTTAAGGCTCTTAAACCTTTTAGTTCTGGATTTAGAGCAAATGAACTTAATCCCAACGTAAGTTGGAAATCATTTCATACTAGAACTGAACTTGCGCTTTAAATACGGCCTTAAAAGTTGACTCTAGTGGCACTCATTTATTTGCCCAGCATTCAGTGCAATTGTATTATTTAGTCTCCAAGTGAACTGTCACAGTATTGTTCAATGGTTCTCTGAATGCTCTGCCAGTGTGTGATTCCATAAAGTCAAAATGGGCATCTCCTTGAGTCCAGCTGTCTAACAAACATCCGTACCAGTCATGCTGGTGTGTAAAGAAAACATTTTGGTAAATCTGGTATTTAAACAGTTTTTCATTAAGTTTGATAAGGGACAGTCTAGTTCAGTTGCAGTGCGCAAATTATATCCTGAAATAAGCGTTTTCCTAATGTTTAGATCTGGATCATTGGGCAGCTGAAGTTCATGTTAATTTTAGATGTTGTAGTATGTTGACTTGTAAAATTCAATTCTTTTGATTTAATTAATATATAGTAGTTTGCAATGCTTGAAATTAAAAAGAAGTTAGATGCTTAATTTGCTCAATAACCCTATTTATGCTTCTTATGGACATGAAGATACAACAAAAGAGAAGAAGACTTTTGTACTCTCAAAGAATACAATGATTTTCTTGAAGAAGTTGAAGATATTGGTAAGTCTGAAATATGAAAATGTCTTTGAACTAAGATGCAAATATGTAACCAATTCAGCAATACTAGTGTATCCAAAGACTAAACTTAGTAATTCCTGGAAGTAGTCCAATGTGATACTTCTAACAATTAATCAGAGATAAATATAACAGGATTATATTACTCAAATTAAACTGGTATATCATTGTTTTTAATGCTGGAATATCACCAATTCAGTTTTTGTGCAATTTTCTGAAATATTTAACTTTTTCAAATACTTGAACTTTTGTTGATAAACGCAGTATAAGCAGCTTGCCCCATTTCTTCTTTATTTTCATAATTGTTTTACTCCAAATACCTGTTGAAACAGATTTGCTTTCTGGGAAGACGCCTACTTTTCTTGGGTCTCAATGCCTAGTCCACTTACCTTGTTGATGAAAACAAAACATATTAGATTCAGATAGCACAGTGGGAAAGACGTGAATTATGGCTTTGGGGGAGGAGAAAATGTTGAAACAGATTGTGATGAAATCAAAGAGATGTTCTCTAAATGTTGTGGTACTTGCCCAAGTACCATGTAGAAGAGTGAATATTTTTCAAACTCGTTCTTGGATGGGGACATCACTGCCAAGGCAGTATTTATTTCCTAATCTTAGTTGTCCTGACAAGGTAGTGGTGGACCACCTGCTTGAATCTTGCAGTGTGGTGGTTACAGACGCCGGAGGGATTTACTAAACCACTTCAGATAATCATTAATAATGGTATATGACTGGAGCAATATAAAGGCTAAATCAGATAGCAATGGGAGGTTTAATTCGCAAAAAGTAATTCATTAAATATTTTGATCTTTAAAAGACTAAACAGCTTTTCTGTAGTGGCACACGCCAACTTATCTTTTCCAGATTTGTTTTTTTACATTTTTTAAAGCAAATTCTTAAACTGGCACATTGCAGTTTCAACTGAGATTCTATGGATTACCATTCCAGTTATTCAGCCAACAAAAACCGAAATTGCTGGAAAACCTTAGCAGGTCTGGCAGCACCTGTGGAGAGAAATCAGAGTTAATGTTTCGGTTTCACTTCTGAAGAAGGGTCACTGGATCTGAAACATTAACTCTGATTTTTCTCCACAGACGTTGCCAGGCCTACTGAGATTTTCCAGGAATTTCTGTTTTTGTTTCAGATTTCCAGCATCCACAGTTCTTTTCATTTTTTTGTCAGTTATTTAGTCACTCACTGTTGGACACCATGATTTGCAGTCAAATGTAAGGATTTAGCTTTGTGCTTCAGTTTCTTATACAAAACTGTAGATTAACAGACCAAAATGCAGTCTCCCAGATATTGCTTTGATTGTTTAAGATTATTTTTGATACTGTCAAGTGGCTAAAGGGAATGTGGTTCTTCTAGAAGAGATCCACCTGCGTTGATCTTAAGAGTCACACACTTGACTCTTTCTTACAATGTAGATTTTGGCTGGCTCCAAAGTAAATTGACCATCACTTGATTCCATAGCAGTGTGAGTTCTCAGCAAAATTACTTGACTGTGTGAGAATAGAAATGTTAGACATCCAATACATCAAAAGAAGCAAAATACCTGCTTCAGTAACAAGTGGAAAATGTAATTGCTGAATGCAGCAAGACATTTTTTTTTGGTTAAAAAAAGTCACCTGTAATTTAAACATTTATTTGATTGTAATCTGTGTGTTTTCTATGGATAGTCTATTTTATGCCATGGAAGTGGCCAAAAGATGTAAGACCATAAGACAGTAAATCTTTTAGCCCATCAAGTCTGCTCCACCATTCAATGAGATCATGGCTCTGCTTTACTGCCTTTTCCCCATAATGCTAGATTTCCATACTGATCAAAAATCTGTCTGTCTCAGTTTTGAATGCAGTTAATGACCCAGCCTCAACAACCTCTATGGTAAAGAATTCCACAGATTCACAACCCTCTGAGAGAAGAAATTCTTAATCATCTGTGTCACCTTTAAGAGATTAAGCCCTCTGACCCTAGACTCTCCCACAACAGGAAACAATCTACCCTGTCAAGTCCTCTAAGAATCTCATACATTTCAATATATCAACTATCATTCTTTTATATTTCAATGACTACAGGCCCAGTCTATTCAACTTCTACTCATAATTCACAGTCCCTCCATACCTGGTGTCTGTCGAGTGAACCTTCAGTGGCCGATCTCTTGCGTTAGATAAGGGGCCCAAACAGTCAGTCTTCAAGCTGTGGTCTGACTAGTGCCTTGTACGGTTTTAACAAAAAAAAAACCTACTTTTATACTCTGTTCCCTTTCAAAATAAAGGTCAGCATTCCATTTGCCTTCTCGATTCTTTGCTAAATTTGAATGCTAGCTTTTTGTGATTTGTGGATGAAGACTCCCAAAACCCTCTAATCGTAACTTCATGCAATTTTTCACCATTTAAATAATATTCAGCTCCTCTATTCTTGCTGCCAAACTGCATAACCTCACATTTCCCCTTATTATATTCCATCTGTCAAGTTCTTGCCTACTCACTTAACCTGTCTGCATCCCTTTGCAGACTCATCCTCTCCATTTGCCTGACCACCTATTTTTATGTCTCCCAAAATTGGCTATAGTACATTCACTTTCCTCATCCAAATCATTAATATATATGGTAAATAATTGTGAGCCCCATACTGCACTAGCTATAGCTTGCCATCCTGAAGATGCACCCCCTGCCCCACTTATTCCGACTGTTTTCTTTAGTTAGCTAATCCTCGATCCATGTGAATATACTACCCCCAATTCCATGGGCTCCTATCTTACTAGGTTGCCTAATGTGCCTTGGTCCTATGAAGCATTGAAACACTTGGAATATAATTCTATACGATGCTTCTCAGGACTCGGAACCCAGTTTATGAACTGATATAAAACCTCTTGAATAGTTTGTCTTTAATGTATGCATTAAGCCACATTGTTCTCTAATTTTTATGGAAACATTCTTAAAATGTAGCATCATTTCAGTTTGATTTTTGGTGATTTTACTTGTTTCCTGAAGTTGTTGCCTTGTACATAAATGAATGCTAAAAGCTTCACAAAATTGTATTGTGCAAGGGAATAAGATGGTTATCGAGGAGATAAGAGATTAGTTGAAATCGAGTGAGATTTCAATCCACAGTTTAATGTTGCAATTTAAAGTATAGAATGCGAATTACAGTAATGTGCAAGTATGACTGAAACTTCTGATGATATAATTTGGAGAGCGCTAATATATCTTTTCTCACCTAGCAAAATTGCTTTAGATAGTAAGGCATGAATACAGCAAAAAAAAAAGAAACTTTGAATGTAATACAGTGCAATCAAAACAATGACTAGAGTTTGAATAGTCATTGAAATATGGTAAAGTAAGTTTGTTTTGCAGTCTATCGTGTTCAAAGTCTTTTTGTGCTTAAAAAATATGAACAGTTAAATCAAATTTTGAAATTTGCAGTTCAGAGGACAAGTGATATGAGATAGTTCAACTTACTGTGTATTATGATTTTTTTACAGTGAATAATTTGACCAACAATATCGATGTAGAGAACACTAAAAGAAAAATGGAGCAGTACCAGAAGGATAATAAAGATATTATTTACAGAAACAAGCTAAAACTGGTCAGTCAGTTGATCTTAATTTAAAATTCCTTTCTTTGTGGCCTTTGCTTAAATGTATGTTTAGTTTTGTGAATGGAGTCTCCATTACTTGTAGCAAACACCTTTATGTGAACACAAATTGCTTGCTTTTTGCAATTGAAAACATAATGCTTAAAAAATTAAAAATTATTTCCTTTTCAATGCATACTTTTTTTGGTTAGAAGTCTTCCAGTGGGTTTGTTTATTAACTTTTGAGCCATACCATGAAGATCTTTGACAAGGAGCTGCAACACAGAATTAATGTTCTGAGTCTGATGTGACTCCTTCGAAACATTATCTCTGCTTCTGTTGTAACATGTGCTGCTAGACCTGTGTGTTTCAGATTTTCAGCATCCACAGTATTTTGCTGTTATTTTCTTAAAATGTGTTGCCCGGAATTGTCCACAATACTCCATTCAAGACAACTGATTTGTAAAGATTTAGCCTAACTTTTTTTCTCATTCAGAACCACGTGTCCCACATTACAAAAGAAGAAAATGACTTCACTTCTTATTACTGTCATGTCTGACATGAAGAAAGTTTTTTTTTCTGTTCCTGGAAATCCTTATTATGGCGTGAAGTTCTCATCTGGATATAGTAAAATGAGAGTGGTTGTATTAAGCTTTTATATGGATACATTATATTCTAGCACTTTAATATTATACATCTGGGCATAAAATCCACTGTTCATTTCACTTTTCTATAGCCTAATTCATTTAAGATTCTACTGTAATGAACCGAAATTCCCAAATACCTCTGCTAATCCACAGCACGCAGTCTTCCCCGATGGAAGTATTTTTAAAATAATGAATAGAACTAGACTACTTACTGACAAGTTACATCTGTCACATTTTGTCCATTATACCGTATTCTTATTGTCTCCTGTAGTACTAAGAATGATTTACTTCTATTTTGGGATAGTCTGCAAATTTGTTTACAATTCACTTCAGCCTATAATACTAACCATTGATGTATACAGTGAACAGTGGTGGCCAGAACAGACCTCCCCAGTCATTGGCCATCACTCTGAGGAAATTCCCTAGTTCTTACTGTCTGGTTAGAAGTGGAGAAAAGCTTCCAGGTTACGTGCAATTAGATCCTTTATCAAGTTAAAATACACCCATTAGACAAAGATGCTCAGATCACTTAACCAGAGGAACTGATGATAATAAAACACAACTCAAGGGCAACTAGGGACGGGCAGTAAATGCTGGCATCCCAGCCAACGACATTCATGTTCCATGAGTGAGTGAAAAAGAATGTGCACAATAAAAAACCCGAGGAAGGTTATGGACCTGAATTTGTAACATTGTCTCAATTATATATAAGCATAGATTAAGTTTAGCTTCTCAATTCACTTTTAAAACTGAGTCTCGGTTATTGATTCTTTAAACATTTTCTGGAATCAGTGTTGACCTGGAAGTAGATTAAAATTGCGTGTGATACTTCCAAATAATGTTGTGCTGAAGCTTCATATAATCCCACAATTGTGATTTTATTTTTATACTAAGTTATCGAGGCAAAATATTCAACAATCTTGCTAGCTTTTGCCTTAACCTATCAGAACTAAAAGTTTTTTGTGGATTTAATTCCTAGTACCCATCTCCCAGATGCATTTACAGCTTTTATTCCTGCATTCCCAATACCACATGATTTTGTTCATTTAATTCCCACTGTTTCTATGCCCCACACATTGTTAATGAATGTAATAAATGGAAGGGAACATAGCACTTACTATGGAGCATTTCACTGTGATCAGAATTCATCAACCCCACTTAAACCACCTGTTGCTTACAACATGTAGCTAATTTGTTACCCATCTTGCCATTTAATTCTTCACCCATTGGATCTAGTTTCCACGAACAATTCCTCAAGAGGCATTTTATTAGTAACGTTTTGGAAATCCAGATAGATTGTCTATAATAGATAATTTGCTGTTAATGATTCACTTTGATCAACTGGATTAAATTTATTCTATTTCATTTGGGTAAATCAACTATTTTATTTCGTTCTATTTCAATAAACCATTTCAGACTTGTAGATGGTCATTTGTGGTGTTACTAAAAATGCTTTCCATTAACTTTCCCAACATCAAAACCAGTGGTCGATGGCTTTCAGTTGTGAAGTGAACCTAGTTTGTTTTGTAAAAACTGTTCTTTTTTCTTTTTGTGTCTTTAACTATTGTGGACTGCAAGGAAAAAGAACTGTTTTTTTTAAAAACTAAAGAATTTAGCAGAATGGCTGCTTAATTTCACAACAAGGAATTAGATACCAATGTGAACTGTTGTTTTTTTTTGTGGCGATGGGTTCCTGCATTGTGCAGATGATCAGGAATGGAAGAGTTGAAGCTGATTGTTTCTGAGTGAACTGAGAAAATTAGAACTGGAAGTAGGTTACAAAGGCAAACACACAGAGAACAGGAAGCAGAATGTGTGCAGTTGTTCTCCCCATCAGAAGCTATATGTTCTCTGCAGTAAAACAAAACTCAGTTGAAACTTGTAGAAACCCAGTTACTTTTTCTGCAGCCATTGCTGTGAGCTGTTACTTTTGAATGGATAAATCAGAGACATTTTGCAAATGAATCAGTCACTCTGTACTTCTTACAAACCCGTGGATGCTTCCAGAGAAAGACAATTGAACACAAAAGGCCTGGCTAGCCAAAAACTGATTATCTCAACATTGGAATCAGGAAGCAAAGATCACCTGAATTGACTTCCCAGTTTTTCTCTACCTCTGCAAATAATTTGTATTTGTGTGAGTGCGTGCATGTGTGGTAGTTTAGAAGGGGATTAGAGCTTTAGTTGTATATGCCAGTAATTTAAATCTGTTTGATTGTAGCTATAGTCTAATTATTTACAATGATTCTTGTTTAGCACAGAAATCTGGTCCATGTTTTCTATTAACTTTGGTCTAACGGTCAGATAAACTGGGGTGCTGTGCATACCTTAAAAAAAATGTTAACACTTGGTTCAACTTCGCGAATAGTGGGGCTGAATTTATGGCGCACTGCCCCAGTGGGTTGTAACAGTTGAGTCAGTCTTTTATTCCAATATCTGGTGTTTGGCTCAATTCCTTTTACACTATTGATATTAGGGTGTTTTACAAGAGCTACAACCTCGGGCAGATTAAATCTGACCTTGGAGCTCTTTTTTTAAAAAGTAATACAGCCACTTCCGTTAAGATCTGCTATCCCTTTATCATCATTTGCTATATAAAGAAATAGCATTTCTAGAGTACTTTGCCACATTATTAAGATGCACTAAAGCACAATTAAACAAAGTGATTACTTCTTAGAAATGCAGCCACTGTTTTGCTTCAGAGGTAAAATTTAAAGTTATTCAGGACAAATACAATTATTCTCTAGAATGTGTTTGAGCACCCCGTTAAACTGTAATTAAGCCATGGCTTGTTGTGCATAGGGGAAAGATGTCTCTTTGCAAAACATTCTTAATGGATGAAGTGATCAATTCATTATTAAATGTAACACTATAATAGCAAGCATTTGAATGGGTAACAAAAGAAATGCCACAAATATGGTAGGTTTTGGATGTATCCCCTTCATCACAAATAAAAGCTCAATATGAGAAAATAGTTGCATCTTTCTGATCAAAATGAAGGATAAGAGAGAACAACGTGTAAAACATAAAATAGATCTGATCTTCTCATTCATTCACCCATTTTCATCTGTTATTAGTTTTAAAACATAACTATTTTTAGATCATTAAACCTGTTGGAATAACTTTGAGCTTTGGTGATGACATTCAAGCCAACAGAAAGGAATATTGGATGCAATATCTAACAGACGTTACCTGCAAGATTGTCCCATTAACCTTTTATAATGCAAGTCACTGTTTATGACTCTTGACTTTCATTTTACCCAACTGTTTGTTTACTAGTCGCAAGATGATAGAGGTGAATGTAAATATTATAAGGTACATTTCAGTTGGGAAGACTAGGAAGTTTGAAAAAGTGGAGTGAAAGTTTTTTTAAATCACGGATGGCAATGGCCAAATTAAGAGAAATGACTTGATCTTGGGAGATCAAACCGTAGAATCTGTTTTGATAGAGGTAAGTAATAGTAAAGGTTAAAAGTTGCTTCTGTGGTTGGTTTCTAGGTTGCCAACAGTAGTCACACTGTAGGATGGGGGAAAACAGGAAAAAATATTGGGGGCTTGTGAGAAATGTACAGTGGTAGTCATGGATGATTTTAATTGACAGAAGGATTGAATGATTGACAAAGTAGCCTATAGGATGACTATATGGAGTGTTTTCAGAACAGTTTCTTTTTTTTAATTCATCCATTGGATGAGGGCGTCACTGGCTAGGCTGGTATTTGCTGCCCATCCCTAATTGCCCAGAGGGCAGTTAAGAGTCAGCCACATTGCTGTGGGTCTGGAGTCACATATAGGCCAGACTATAGTTTCTTCCCTAAAGGACATTAGTGATAGGTGTTTCCAACAATCAACAATGGATTCATGGTCATCATTAGACTCTTAATTTCAGATTTACATTGAATTCAAATGCCACCATCTGCCATGGCGAGATTCGAACTTGGGTCCCCAGAACATAACCTGAATTTTTGTATTAAAAGGTCAGCGATAATACCACTAAGCCATCGCCTCCACTCTGAGCAGCATATATCAAAGCCAAGCAGAGAACGTGCTAAGTATCCAGTAGTGTTTATGTGCGATGAGCAATAAATTCTGGCTCAGCCAGTGAAGCAACATCCCCAAATGAAGGAAAAAATAATAACCTCATAGTAAAGGCACCCCTCAATATTAGTGATTATAAAGTGATTGAATATCATATTCCGTTTGAGAGTGAAGCGTGGATCTAACATTAGTGTTTTAAACATAAATAAAGGCAGTTATGAGTGCATAAAAGCAGAGCTGTAAAAACTAAACTAGGAAATTAGGTTACGGGATTTGTCAGTAGAGATGCAGTGGCAGGCATTCGAGGAGATATTTCAGAATAATCAAGGA